GAAAATTGATCTGGAGACGTAAACAACAAATAGAAAATATAACTGGCCAATTGCTGTTTGTAAATATTCTAGCGGAAAACATGTTTGCCTAAACAATAAGTAATTGTGTGTATAATTTGAGTGCTTAAGAGTGGTATTGTGGTGTATGCTACTGATGCGATCTATCAGTAGTATATAAAGAACGTTCACCAGCACAAAAAATATCAAGTAACAGAGAGGCAGATTTAACGTTAAAGACAGCAAATGATTTAGAGTTGCGTCAACCTATGGGAGACACGAAAAGAAGACAAAGAAGCACAATGTTAAGGCCAGAAGTAGCCAAATTCAGGAGATCTGTGCAAATGGTGCGTTGAAGATACGGTGTACATAATTTCTCTGTATAGAGATACCTTCGTTATATGTGTTAATACGCTCGCTTCGATTTCTTACATGAAAATGACGTTAACACCAGTGAAAACTGAATTTTAATTTCTTTGTGCGTTAGATTGTTTGAATTTAGTCGAGTTGAACTTAGATCATAAAATGATATCAGTTGGAGAACCACTGAAAATCAGAAATTACTAGACAGCTGTTCTTTCCTGTTTTGGGGCTCTTCAGCAGTTCACATCTATGACACTATCAAGGATGGTGTCTAGGAACTTTAGGTTACAAGGCGAGCTTGTTAACCATTCAGCAACAGCTGAAAAGGAATCCAACGGTTCATAAATTCTGAATATATATTGCAACTGCCAGGCAGTTTCATTGGCTGGTATTTGTACTCACTCCCTCCTGACGTGATGGATGCCATTGGTCACGACGTCTCACTATAACTACAGGAACTTTATCTTTTATTCAGTTACTAGTGAGCATTAGTTCAATTTTTTGAAGAATTTTATTGGTTCTCCAACTGATATCAGATCCTGATCTAATTTGAAAATAATTTGAAAATGCTTATTTCCGGTGGTAAATTTAGAATAAGTGAAAATTGTGAAAAAAGCAGAATTGAATGAATTCACAAATTTCGGTAGGTCTTCTCAGCTGGATATTCCACAAACATGATTACTGATACAATCTCAATAAATATATGATCATAAGAGGCGTGTAATAATTCATTAAAGCGATTAAAAGGTGAATAAACTTTATCACAGGATATATTAACATATAAAAATGGAGTTACCATTGCAGAAATCTTATATATTTTTGATTAGTTAGTTTTGAAAATATTCAAATCACCAAATACGTTAAGCTAACACATTGACTGAGCTGAAAATATCTCGTGTTTTGTTGCTTCAGACAAAATGTACATGTAAATCACAAGATGTGTAGATTTCTACTATTGAACCGATATGCATTCTTTGCACACACTCAGCAAAAATCCATCAGTTCCTACTAAAAGATTGCTAATTTTTTTCACTCCTTCATGTTCCCCGTGGAACATAGGGCTTCAAGCTAGACGCTTGAAGTTTCTGTAGCAGTGTTTATTTTACAGGATGGGGTTGCTAGCCTCATGCCCAACCTTCCCTCTTCACCAGCTTTATTACTAGCTTAGCGAGGTAAAGGAGTGCGTTGGCTGGGGATCGAACCCCGGACCATGTGCATGGTCGGCGAGCGTCATAACAGCTGTGCTACCGATGCACGAAAGACTGCTAATAATGAAATTATATTGTTTTCACAATGTTGAATGCAGGAGTATCATGTTTAGTTTGAATCTTTTTGTGTATGCGCTTGTATGTCGAATAATGTGGCTGTTTTGGTGAAAATGGACTGATTGACTTACGACTGTGATAATGAAGATTAGTAACATTAACAATGTGCCTTTCTGAAGTATGTACTCGAGCGATGCATAAAACTTCTAGTGATTTCACCAGTTATCCTTGTGTGTTGTTGAGAAATTATGCTGACAATATCCTAACTCTGATTAACTAGATAACTGAAGTGAATGAATAGCTTGAGGGCATACCATGCAAATGCAGCCAAATGATTTTTATTTATTATCATTTTTAGTCATAAAAGAGTATTCGTTTTACTCTGATTACTTTTCAATCAGCCAATTAACATGAAATTACTCCATTCTGATTTTAAGGAATTAAACTGCAAAATCTAATGCTCACTAGCGACTGGACCTATTCAGGCAGTTACCTGGAATTCTAGTGGGAAGCCGTAACCAGTAGGGTACAGCAGGTTGAAGGTGAAGCAGTAACTCATCGAAGAAGACATTGTAAAGTAGTCGCGCTATGTCGTCAATTGGCAGAATTTAGAATTCATGGGCTGGCCAATGGATCGGGTCCCAGTGGCTTAATGGTCTACAAGCTCACTAGCCTTGTAACCAGACGGTCCTGGGTTTGAGCCCCGGTGGGTGCGTACTGATGAGGTGTCCCAAACTAGGGCGAAACTGCTTTCCAGTACTCCCAGATTTTCCAATGGTTCTCTAGATGATGTCAGCTCATGATGAAATCCTCCAACCAATTAAACTGCAAAAATCTCATTGTTACTCGTCTATGTTTATTAGGATTTGTGTAAACTGAAATATTGGTTGGAGGATTTCATCATGAGCTGATTCAGGGAAACGTTTCTCTCCCCATAAGTTCTAAATAATTGAGAAATTAAGTTCTGAGTGCGCTACTAACCTAAATTCATCACATTTGATTATCGTGTCACATGCGTAGATTTACGCAATTTAGATATGATAGGGAAGATTTGTAGCTCAGGTGGATGATTTTGATGTGGTTGTGTTCTCTAAGCTGGATAGTTAATTTGCGAAGCTTTCATCGCCCTACTAGGCGACATCTTCAGCGCATACTTCAATTCATTGAAGTGAGCTTTTAGATTTCTCCACGAGTTTATTAATCATCTCTCCCGGTGACCTTGGACGTGATTGGTTGTTTTTGTGTGTTTTCACACCTTCTAGGTTACTTGTATTGAAACTGATTGTTTCTTTGACTTGAACTTTGACCCTTTGTGTGTGAGGTTTCTTTCTTATCGGTTGATAAATTTTGTCTATCTCGATGTGTCGACTGATTGATGATTCACTGGAATGCCAAGCGTCTAAAAATTCTCTAGCATTCTTGTTGTTTCCTCTGTCTAATATTTGAACGTTGTCCCAATCGAATTGATTTCCATGATTGTCTGTATGTATTGATATGAGGGAGTGGATATCATGTCTTTTGACGGCCAGCTTATGTTCGTGGATACGAAGAAGAAGGGGACGTCCACTTTGGCGAATGTAATGTTTTTCACAGTTGTTACAATTTATTTTGTAGATGATGTTGGTTTCATCTTCTTTTGGTTGACATAGAACTGAGTGAAGTGATTTTGTTGGTTTGTGTGAGACGTCAATTCCTAAAGGTTTGAAGAGTGTTGCAGTGATTTCTGAGATATCCTTTATATATGGTAGGGTGATTTTCTTTGTGCTTTCCTTAGGGTCTTTTGGTTTCATAGATTGGTTCTGGGGTATATGTCTTTTGATGAAAATCCGTGGTTATCCATTCCTTTGGAAGACGTCCATGAGATATTTTTCTTCAATTTTCCTTAAGGTGGGAGTGCTGCAACGAGTCCTGGCCCTCTTGAATAGTGTTTGTATGCAATTTAAATTTGGTCGACATACTTGGATCATCAATAAGCATTTGAGGTCGTCATCGACCACTATTTTTTGCTAACTTTCTCACACGTATTGTTGCTTACATAGAACCATGTAAAAAGATAGATTTGCACTCAATAATTTTATTAAAGAACAAACCAGTCTTAGGCCAACAGACAATCAATATTTTTGTCTTTTGTTCAGTAAGCTCAAGTTTATACCTTTGTGTGTTTATATTGAGTACATCTTGTCTGTGTGCATAAATATTTCTTTAAAACACACAACATAGCTTATTTCTAAAAGTTAATCTGAACGAAGAATATTCTTTTCAATAATTTCTCTTCAGGTTCTTACAATTATTATAAAATATAATATTTGTTGTCGTTACAATAAAGGCCAGTTATGCGGCAGATACATTTTTAACGTAGAATAACAGATTAGTTATGGGGTGTCAAAATAAATAGTCGTATTTGTGTGACAAACGTCGTGCTAGGCTGAAATCGATTACAAAATATTGTAAAACGGGAGACAATGGTGATTAATCATAGTGGATTTGTAGAGTGTGGGGTAGGAAAATTGACAAGTCAGTTCAAGGTTATAAAAGGTGTCAGGTGAGTGGCTAGAACAAAGTGGTCTGTGTTAAACAGGAGATAGTAAGACTGTAATGAGAGGTTCATAATGAAATAACGAATTTGTGAAATGAAACAGGTGGAGGCATTTATTGAGAAAAGAGATAATATCACTAATAATGAGTCCGGACGGTATAAATGAAAAATTCGATAGTATTGAGAGAATGTTTGCATGAAGGGCATAAATTATGACGAATATTAGTAATCATAATAATGGTAATAATAATTGTAATAATAATATTTGTAATAATAAGCGAAGGAAAAAAACCAAGAGGGTTAAGGGGAAGGAGCACTCTTGGTGAGAAGAAGAATCATCAATCCAAGTTTGGCCACGGTAGGAACAGCTTCGGACGTGTTGTTTTTGGATACAAAGTTCCGGTTTAGTGGATCTTATTGCAACAGCTTCAGCTATGTGTAGGAGACGTAAGCAAACTGTACGTGATAGCGACTTCGGAATTCGGTATATAACCCTGAAAGCTGTGTTGACGTCAATACGATGTGCAGTATCGACCAAGTGTGACAGGATCGAGCTATTTTTTGCACTTAATTTCCCCCCCCCCTGCTGAACCAGGCTGGTAAATGTTCTCGAACCCGTAGACGATCCTACGTTAAAAATGTATCTGCCGCATAACTGGCCTTTATTGTAACGACAACAAATATTATATTTTATAATAATTGTAAGAACCTGAAGAGAAATTATTGAAAAGAATATTCTTCGTTCAGATTGACTTTTAATTCGTAATATGGGAATTTTCCACACTATCAAATCTTATAGTTTATTTCTATTTGACTGTTTTTCTTTGTTTATATTTCAGTTATTTTCCACCTTATCTTAGTTTCAACGAAAAACATTGTGTTCAACTGTGACTGAAACAAGTCAAAGTGAAGAATATTTAAGATTATGCCTCACGTAGGACAAATAGTATGCTTTCTTATCGACAGACTAACAATTATCTATCTGTTGGATTTGATTTCTTTCTACCTGTTCAGTACAACATTGATTACTTCGATTCAACTGGTTTTGAATTTACCGAAATGGTCCATCTTCAGTTATTTATTTAAAAAATGGTTAATATTCCGTTGCCTGTTATTCGGTTGGAGAAGATATAAAGTTTATCAGCGACTAAAGAAGAAGAAGGATGACATACTTGACAAGCATGGTCGATTGTATAATAAATTTCAAGGTCTTCATAATAATCCAGACAGTCATGCTGAAATACAAGATCTTAACAATAACAAAAATAACAATAATAATGAAATGACTGCACTAACTTTAAGTCAATTACGTGAGAAGTTAGATAATAAAAGTCTTCAGTCAATCGATTTATTAGATGCATATCAAGTTCGTGCATTGGAATTAGTTCGCTCAAAATTAAATTGTATTACTGAAATTGTGTATGAAGCTGATGTCTATGCTATATTAGCTGATTCTATGCGTGATTCAGAGGATGGACAAATCAGTTTAATTCACGGAATACCTATTGCACTTGAAGAAATATTTCCTATCCATGGTTATGATCACACAATGGGTTATACAATATGCACAAATCGTGCTGCTGAAGATGATTGTGCTCTTGTGAAAGCATTACGCGATTGCGGTGCAATTCCAGTGATACTGACAAATGTAAAACAAAAGCTTTTGAGTCTGTCAGCAGATAATCCAATAACTGGATTAACAAGTCATCCTACACATCCTGGTAGAGCATGCGTCAGTGGTACAGCACCTTTACTAGCTCACAACGGCTGTCCAATAGCTGTTGGTTTCGATATACTTGGTGAAGCTCGTCTATCTGCTTCATTCTGTGGGAAGGCAGCGTTTAAACCGACTTCAGGCAGAATGAGTCTGAAGGACTTGCAGCTGCCTATTGGATTACCTGATTGCTTGCAACCAGTTCCATCTCCTATAGGTCATAAAATTGAAGATTTAGTGGACATTCTACGAAGTCTTTGGTCTAAAAGCATATTTTCTCATGACTTTACGCTACCTCCGATGTTTTTCAACAATGAGAAATATCTATCAATTTCAAAATCAGAGAGAAAATTGAAAATAGGCTTTTATACAGATTTTGATGATCTAGTCAATGCTTCTTCATCTGTACAACGTGTTATGTTAAAACTTCGTGATGAGCTTGAAAGAAAAGGACATGAAGTGGTTGATTTTAAATTACCAACACCAAGCAAGGCATACCAGTTAACCATAAGTTTACTGGCCAGGTATGTGGAACCGGAATTATTGAAACTGTTATATATTCGTGGTAATGGTGATATTTTAGTAGACTATAAGCAGCGTCTTTTGCATTTATTCCATGCATTGCCAAAGTTTCTTAGACACAGAATTTCTGAATGGCGTGCAAGCAGTGTTGAAAATGACTATCCAGCTACAGCAGTAGTTCTACGTGGTTTAGGCTGCAATCAAGGACATAATTCACTGATCACAGAAATTAACAATTACAAGCAACAGGTATTCTCGCAATGGAATGAAGCAGAACTTGATGTATTAGTGTGTCCAACCTCTCCGATACCTGCACCATGGAATGATAGTCCATCGTATGTAACAAACTGTGTTCTACCATTCACATGTTTATATAACCTACTTGATTGTCCAGCTGGTACTGTTTATGCAGGACGTGTTGAAAAGTGTGATTTACGAGCATGTGATAATAATCTAAATGGCAGTTTCAAAATCTCTCCAACAAACATAATGTTTTCTGAACAGCATAAACGATCCGAAGGTTTGCCTATTGGTGTACAAGTTGTTGCAAAGCCTTGGGATGATGAGACAGCTCTTGGACTACTTGTCAGCCTACAATCTTTATTTAACCAGTAATCTTTATTTTTTGTTGATTTAGGATTCAGTAAGATGGTTGTAGTATCGTTGAGTGTTGCTTGTAAAAATGAACAAAAGATGTATGAGCTTTTCAGAGACATTGTATGGCACTAAGAATAACTGGTTTCCTATGATTTATTTAGGGCTGTGTAATTTTTGTTTGTCATAATAAATTCCTTTCGAGATTCTTCACTGTTCTGTCACATAATTTACCTCCTGATTTGAAGTGAACGAAATACACCTCGTAGTTGCCGTTTGATGGTCACATAGTTCTGTGTATATACATTTATTTAAATAAAATATTTCATGTATCTATATGTACACCTGCTTATTTGGAGTTTATCCCAAAGTTGTGTATGATAATATTGTTTTGGTTTTTGCTTTTTATATTCCCTAGTTTCACTACAAAGAAACTTGATTCTTCATACATATATATATTTCTAGTTTACTATATAGAGATTTCTTATCTTTGTAATAATAGCTTTATTCCGAACAACCTGTTTTTATATACAATAAAGAAATTTCAACTTGGTTTTGTCTACTGCTTATACAGAATCTTCAAGTAGAACAGAAATCTATGGTGTATCTTTCTGCGGGATTTCACTCAGTCCTGTAAATGAGCATACTTCGGGTGAATATGTTCCTTCAAAACATATCAAGCGGTACATTGAAATTTATTAGAAAATGCACGTGAAAATTGACTATTTATCAAGGACATAAGTAGGTGGTTAAAACGCAAAATATAACTGAGTAAATTTGATATATTGTACTTTGTGGAAAATTAGGTATTCGAAAATTTTAAGCAAGTCACCATGGATTATACTAATGATGAAATGATATGATTCGAAAAGACGTTGAGAATTCTCTCTTTCGTTAACAGATGTATTATCTCATTTTCAGACTAATTAAAAGCTTATACGAACAGATTACCTTAGGATATGACCGTAACTTTCTGTAGTAAATGATGTGATGGACTGAATTAAGCCATAGGTATAATGAAATTAAACAGGCAGATAAACCTCAACCGAATAACAAATACGCTTATTCTGCGATATCATCTTCTGCTGTTCTCAGCCTTGAGAGGAGTGTCATTCATTTCCTAAATACATACAGTTACGACAGATCAATGATGAAATAACTTATTCTGATTACTTCTATGAAATCAAACAGTGTCAAATGAAATCACCAAATCCCCATAGTAGCATAGACGGGAATTTGAAACATAAAATTTCCTAATTCAGCAACTAGTCAATTGAATTGTTGTTGACCTCAGTTTCAGTCGCTTCCTGTCAGTAGTCACATTAGAGGTTTGAAGTAGTAATTTTTTTTTTATTCCTTCACGTTCCCCGTGGAACATAGGGCTTCAAGCTAGAGGCTTGAAGTTTCTGTAGCAGGGTTTATTTATTACAGGATGGGGTTGCTAGCCTCATGCCCAACCTTTCCTCTTCACCAGCTTTGGTTCTGGCTTAGCGAGGTAAAGGAGTGCACCGGCCGGGAATCGAACCCCGGACCATGTGCATGGTCGGCGAGCGTCCATACCGCTATGCCACCGACGCACTTTTTGAAGTAGTAATAGAAAGTGTCAAATTTATCAGAGTTAAATAATCTTTTCGACTTTTTTTACAAAGTTAAATCAAAGGCCTCATCAAGAATAAAACGTATTGAAAGTATGAACTGACATTCGTAGTACATCCTTCTCTTAAACGTAGACCTTTTGTTTACGAAAAATGATGATATACTGTGTTTAAAATCGAAGAAATTGATCAGATTCAGACTGATTTATGACTTTTGAGTAATAATATCTCTTCTCCCTTTGATTTATCCATCTTTCTCAGTTACCTACTCTGGTAGAATTGTTGTTGTCAGTCACTGTAATTAACCAGTATCTATTGTTAGCGTCTGCAACGTGTTAGCTTATTGAAGTGACACGACACAATTGAGTAGTACAGGGTACTTCATTTTTGTCGTTATATGTTCGAAGTCAGTAGGTAGAAATGTCTGCTTAATGTAGGTTTTGTGTTTGTTATAATTCAAAAGCTATGTTCATTTGAAAATCTGCTTTCTCTTTGCGAATTCAGTCAGTCGATGTCGAAATAGGAGATTTTACATGAAAGCTATTCAATTCATATATGATAACTGGACATTGTATCACATCAACTTGTATACTGCCCTTACATTTATTAAAAAGGAACTTATTGTCTATAAAAACCTCTATACATTTTTTCATACGTTCAGGAACTGTTGATCAGTTAAATAACCAGTGTTGTTGGTAGCTTACATGAATCAGTCAGAAAGAAAGTAAACTTGAATGTTGATATGAAGAAACTAGGAAGAGTGAGATAGTTCAGTTTCCTTTGTTTTTCTTTGATGTCAAAAAAAGGATACCTAGCGATTTGTGTAAAGCAATTAGTGCTTAGTACACAGCTGTTGGATTAACAGATCCAATGAATGTCGGTTTTCATAACATGTCCTTTATCAGTTAATAAATAAATTTCTTAGAAAGTGGGACTTATCATCTGCTTGTTTAAATTACCTAAGACAGTCTGTATGCATTCATTTATTTGATTTATGGTTGGTTTCAGCCATCTGGATCCACTGAAATTTATTATCAAGTATATTTACCGGTACCTTATACATATGATTAATAAAAGTTCTTTGAACAACATGAATCACAAAACGCTTGTAGCTAAAATCCTGGTCACTCCAAAATATGATGGAAAATGTATTCGTGTTGCATATTGTATGCATATTTCACATGCCTGGAATGAATTGCTATCAGCTTGACAATGCTTTGTAGGCTGAAAAGAAGATTAAAGATATTTCAGTCCATTTTGAAACACTTCAGTAGTTTGCACTATTGTCATAAGACTGCATACTACTGTTTGGCAGAAATGAGTAGTTGTATGTTACTTATATCAACCAGCAGTGCTTATTAGCCAGATCGACGTAGTCTCAACATTGGACGGCCGTCTGCACTCTCCATAGCTTGAGCTGAGGAACAGAAGCCGAAAATTTCTGTACAGTCAATCAACAGGAAGGATGAAACTGAATTTAATTCCATATTAATTTGTTTATTAGATATATCACACAGTGAAACAGTATTATTTACTGGATGACGTTTCGAACAAAATTTATTGTTCGTAATCATATCAATTATAATCACACGACTTCGAAACTTGAGTTGTATAGTTTTCTTTGTTCTCTCCTATTTGTCGTAGGGGTAGTAGAATTTTCCAGATATCTGGGACAGGTGTTGAATCATTCCTATTACATGTATTTGCAGCTGATTAGATAAACAAAGCTTCTGTTATCAATCTCTCCCTATACCCTGTGACATTAGATTTTAAAACTGTCATCCTATCCCATCCTATTGTATGGTTGTGTGTAACTGCATGTATTGCTATGGCTGAACTATTCTCTAGATTTCTTATCTTATTGGGGTCAACTAATCTAGATTTTGCTAGGTTTTGATGTTGCGTTAGTCTCACTGCCCCTGTTCTACTACTTTGACCTATGTATCTGACCTGAAAATCATTGCAGTTTTAAAATCAAATGTAACAGGGTGGAGAGAGAGATTGATAACGGAAGAAGAGTATTGGACTCTAATCTCAATGGAGACACCACCACCCCCTGGGAATGGCAGGTTCATCCTGATGGCGAGTTTGGAATAGGACGAAATATGCATCCTGGATTCCACACTACCACAGTCCACCGAATTACTTCACGTTAACCTTCAAACATCGTCGAGGCGTCCGTACTAAGAACCGAATGTTAACAGAGGCCGAATGTTTCCGTCCAAACAATCACTAGAAAAACCAAAACACTGAATTAAAACAATTAATCAGTTGATCAAAGTTGAAAATGATAAGCCACTGAATTAAAAGCCAGTGTTTAGATATATCTAAGATATTCATATCGAAGTCTAACAGTCTTGGCTTCGATTACTCGTGAGGAAGAAATAATTATTTAGCGCTCTTTGTCTTTCAACAGCTGTCTAGCTGATCTTAGTTCAAAGTGAAGTGCATCATGAAAGCAATCAAGTAGCCATATACTAATTAGGTGAATTTATTTTTTGAGACTATTAATTACTAGACGCTATCACAGAATGCTTCAAAATGTTTCGCAGAATTAATTAACAACTGTTAAATGCAAACATTCACAATGGGCGAGGATATAACCTATCACAAATCAAACTTGTCGCACTTTAGTTTCAGTATGCTTGTATCGGTTGAACGGAGATGGTCAGTTGTGGCTTGAATTTCCTCAGATAGCTGATTTTATATTACGGATCTAGAAAAATGCTGTTATCATTTCAGATGTTATATGTGGCTGTTTTAAAGTTGTTTTATCAACTTTTCTGCGCAGCTAGAATATCTGTTGTGACGTTTGCTATACTATGAACGAAAACACCTTGTGATAGCCTTTATCATCACTTGTTTACAACTTTCATGAAAGTAATGCTTTTTTAGAAATTTTCCGTATAGATAAAGTTTGGTACCATGATATTATGCGTAAAATATTTTAAAATTTTTGAGTGTCAATAGTTTTCAAGGTCAGAAAAAGCGTATTTCGTACCCATGACTCGATAAGAACAAATGAAGCTTTCTCCTATGTAACCCAAACAGACTAGACTGGACTAGACTAGACTAAAGAATTTACTTTACCTCATATTTAGCTTTAGTCATTTTCATTGTTCAATAGATATGGTCAGTGCTGTCGTGTTTTTTCAAGACCTAATATAAACTATATGCTCATTTGAAATCAATGCACCGTAAACATCTGTGTTACAATCCTGTGATCTCATTTTGTGAATAATTGTATGAGTCTCACATAAGATCTAACTTAAGTGTAGATTCGTAAGCGAATATGAATATTTTGAATCCACGATCTGTGGTTTCTGTTTGATACTGGTACACATTCACAACACACGCATACATACAGTGGTAAAAATAAACTAAAACAATAAAAGCGGGAGGTTAAAAAACTGTAATTGTTACCGTCATTATATATTCATTAGGGGTTAACAAAACCTGTTTCAACAGAATCCTAATATGGATACATAAAATATTTGTATAGACATCAGGTAAGACTTGGGTGGGACTTACATCAGTTAAACTATTGAGCTTCCAACTGAATATTTGGATCTATTCTTGAAAATAAACCTGTTGCATATTACATATGGTTTCAAATAACTTTTAAAATAGCACAAGTGTCTACGAAGATTATTAATTACTCACATATATTTGAACTACATGGATGACGGAAACTGATGAATGACACACAAATAAAATAGGTGCTGAACACTTGGAAGTCAGCAGGGCCAGACGGAATTCCCCCCAAAGCAGTGAAAACGGATCCAGAGACTGCGGCAGATGTGCTCACGCCATTCTTGCAAAAAGTTTGAAAAAAAGGAAAGGTGCCAACCGTTTGGAAGAAAGGCTAGCCACCTTGCCAAACTACCTAAGAAGGGTGAATTACGCCTCACTCAGCAAGAACTGGT